TTATGTGAAGGCAATAATGGTATCAATATCGGTAGTACATGAGCTTTAACTTGTAGTACATACTTCGATGGCAATATTGAGTGAATATCAAAATGAACTATCTTGTTTGCTTTACCTTGTTTCTATCTTGTTTGCTTGTTTGCTTTACCTGTAATATTTGTATCATATAGTGTCTTCATATTAGTTGTACAGCAGATTCCGTAATAAATGACCCTCGAGCTTATATTACCCTTTCTGTTTTTCACACTAATCAATGTTGTAGCTAGAACAACTTGGTTGTCATTAATGGATACTCTTCAACTCGTGACATTTTGTCTTTCTTCAATATGTTTTATTTCTTCGGATATACTCGAAATTGTATCAGCAGCGTATGATGATGTATGATGTGGTAACCGCGGTTAACTATGACATATGGACGTTGAACATCTCAGTCCTGCCCGTGACCATGAGTGCTGTAAAGCGTTCGAAACGTCGGATAATTAAAAAGTTAAATATACGCGATAAATTTCGTAAAAACTAGTATTATTTCAGCAGCGTATGATGTAATCGAGTGCAATAAACAGTGATGTCCTTTGTTGCATTTAAAACAAGCTAGTTATGGTTACACCAGCACCACCCATACTACGTATAAAGCGTCCATCAGCATAAATACATAAACGCTGAGTATGTAGTAATTTAAGTAGACTGTAAGCCAGTGGCGTAGCAAAGGAGGGGCGGCGGGGGCGGGTCGCACCGGGTGTCACCTTTTTTGGGGTGACACCCACCCGGTCTCTCAACTTTAAGAACAATGTACAAACAAAAAAAAATCGCTTGCACTGTCGTTGGGCATTCCCTGTCGAAACCGAATTACTTTTGGAGATACCAAGACTTCGAAGACACTTAAAAGCTTAAAAAAAATGGTACGGTTACTGATTGGGTGTCTCTAGATTTTTTAAAGTTTAAGAATGGGATTTTACAGAATCTCTTCCAAATCTTATGATTGCACTGAAATTGTTCATGACGGTTTGCGTGTCCGTAGCTTCATGTGAGAGGAGTTTCAGTAAATTTAAATTAATAAAAAGCTATTTGCGGGCAACAATGACCCAATCGCGGCTTAGCAATCTTGGTATATTAGCCATCGAACACGAGGCAATACAAAATATAAATTTCGATGAAGTTATTGCTGAGTTTGCAGCTGTCAAAGCTAGACAGAAGAAATTTTAATTATATAACAATTTCTTTCCTGTCTTAGTTATTATTGTGTTTTGTTATTTCTTAAATATTATAAATAATAAATAATCCATGTCCTTTATCATATAAAATTTATTGCTTTTTACTTTCGATGGGGTGAAACCACCAACTTCCGCACCGAGTGCCACCTAAGGTAGCTACCTTAGGTGGCACTTAAGGTAGCTACGCTACTGCTGTAAGCATAGGATTAAGAAGTGTAAAAGACAATGGTCAGAATAAATTCACATCTCTCTCTGTGAATACGTAGTCTTAATTAGTTGTAATTAGTTTTTAAAAAAGCTCTCGGCAGCTCCCGCAACTTGACTAGCTTGTATCTTGTCTACAAAATTTGATAGAATGTCCTTCCACTACGCAATTGAAACAAAATAAACTATTCTTAAGGAGTTATCAACGTTGATTGTGTAAATTTTGTGCACAATGTTACAATAAGCGCATTTAGCATTAACTCCAGCAAAAGAGGCCTTATAGACAGACTTCGTGCTACCTTTCATGTGTGCATTTATTTGTGATGATTCCTCTTTTTCCTTTTTCGAAACATTTTGTACCATCTTAATCGCTCTAAAGCGTTCTTCCAAATAAAAAAAATTACGCGTTACAATTAGGTAACTCCGAAGTGGACCCCAATGACTATTTACAACTTTCGTGAGTTTCAGTATATAATTTACATCAGACAATATGGTACTATCATAGGGTCTCAAGTGGTAGTATCGATATCCATATTAGCCATACTGTTGAGATATTCATTAGCGGTGTCTGGATATACGACTTAAAAGAGTTCTTTTAAGTCGTATATCCTTTTATCCATTATCCATTAAGTCATAAGCATTCTACGGTGAGTTTTTTTTGACTCGTTAGTCGTGTTATTATATAGTGTTGACATTTATCCTCCCATTACTATACTGATGGACTAAGGATCCCTGCCTGCCTTCTGTTAATTGATAGAGGTGGTATAGAAATGATGAAGTAGTTGCTCACATTCATCGATAAGCTTGATCTTAAATTGTGATGTTTTCGAATTTTACTTAGTCCCTTTTCATTATGTATCAATGAAGGAATAAATCTTAAAAATAATCAAATCTCGATATTAACCATAGAACGTAGGAAGATTTATGGGTGGCAACATTGTTTGTGGAAATAGTAAAGTAGAAGAAGCAGCTGTACTTAGTAGGTGAACTAAATATTGATATGGAATTATGTGACGAGATATTTTCTTTTAATTTTTTTTAATTCTAAGTATAATACTTCAGTTTAAAATTCGGCTTTATGCTTAAGCTTTATGCTTTAGGAATCAGTGGCAATTTAATTTCGATACTAAATTTAAATTGTTATACCTCATCATGGGTAAGTATTCCCTCTGTCGTTCCTCAAAGATCTTTACTCGGTCCCTTTTTGCTTTAAATTTTAATAAATGATATTGGTACTTGTTTTTCTTACTCACATTTTGTTTTATTTGCAGGCGATATGAAATTTGTAGTTATAAAAATGTCTCGGATTCATGACTTTCACAGGATGATTAGATATAGGTTAATTATTTACTGTAGGAATAATAAGTTAGACTTAAATGTGTCAAAATGTTTTTGCGTTACGCTTTTGTCAGTGGGCGAATTAATTTATATTTTAAATATAAACTTAACTCAACGTATTCCCGCCAAGGCGTGATAGTTGAGGTCATAACCTATCAAATGAACCATAAAATGCATTATTCAAATGTGGACCACTTTCGAGATATTTAGGTTTAATAATTTTTTTCAAAAATCCCAAAAGTCTGGTGTCAAAAATTTCTAAAAAAAACTTACAGCTGTATTATTTTCATTTTACTATTTTTACTTAATGAAAACCTGGATACTTATTTATCAATACTACAGTGTGCAAAAAGTCACATCATTTTCGAAGTAACGCTACTAAAAGTACAACTTTTTCCAAACAGAAGATAAGTTATTAAAAATAAAAATGATTTTGTGAAAAATTATTGTATGTGACCAATTGTGCAAATCATGTTAAAAACATCTCTACTTATCTAGGCTACCTAACGAAGTATCAATTTTTTTTTGCGCCCGAAGCAATTAAAGGGCTACCCTATACGTAGGGAGGCGGAAAATGCATTACGCATACCACGATAGCCGGTCTATCGTGGTTATGAGGGACTCACATCCTACCGGGGACCCTAAGTGATACCCTCTAAAAACCGCCTTTGGGGACAGGAAACCGGCTGATTAAGCTTTATTGTGCCTTATCATGAGCGACCCTCTTTTGGGAAAAGAGGGCGCAGGCGGTTACGAGCCGCTGAGGGAGTGCCTACGAAGGCAAATTAATTATGAGTAATAATTTAATTACTATATACATTACTATTACTATTACTATATAATTTAATTTAATTAGAGTTGGAGCTGTCCTGCGTGGGGCTGCGTAAGTAGCTGCCTTACGAATTAAATGGTTTGAGTGCGACTCTGAGGCTTTGAAGAAGTTCTCAGAGAGTTTTTTGAGAAATTGTTGAATTGTGGGGAAGCTCTAGGTCCCGATGAAGGTCGGCATTACGGACGTACCAAGGTGCGTTCGCAGCTCGACGACAGAAAAGGTTTTGAACTATTTGGAGTTCATTAATAATTTTAGGGTCGGCGTGAGCAAAAACGGGGCCCGCGTAGGACATGACTGGTCGTATACAGACCTTATAAAGGGTACGCTTGTTTCTAAGGGACATTTCACTGTGTCGGCCCAACATGCTGTTGAGCCTACTCAGATAAAAACGTGCGTGACGGGTTACTCTTTTGACGTGGGGCCTGGAAGTGAGCCCTGTGTCTAGAGTGACACCTAAATATTTGGCGGACGTATGCCAGGGGACAGGGGTCCCTAGCACACGTATTGGTGAAGTGTTTTTGAGACGGCGTCGTTTATAATCGAAGTGAACGGCGGAGCTCTTCTCCGGGTTCACATCGATGAGCCATTTTTTGAACCAAGCTCTTAGGTCGTCAACTGACTTTTGAATCTTGTTCCGTATGAAAGGTAGTGAGATACCTTTGCAGTAGATGGCAGTGTCGTCTGCGAAGAGGGAGAGCTGAACACCTTTCGACGAGATGGGAATGTCGTTGGTGAACAGGATGTACAGCAGAGGAGCAAGTACTGAGCCCTGAGGGACACCAGCTTTGATAGTTCGCTGTGAAGATAGCGTGCCTTCGTGTCTAAAACTTCGTCATACTTTATTTGTGGCGTCGACTGTTCTATGTTATAGAAACTAAATTTAATAGTCTAGTCATAAAGAACCAATAACGAATTTCTGTACGGTATATAACTTTGTATATGGTCTGGTCGCTGGTAGCCCCTTGACGCCTGTAACGTATAAAGAGATTCATATACAGCTTTCATCACATGTAGATTCAGAGCGTGCAAATTTAATTGGAAAGCGTTCAAAAGATTTCATATGAACATCTTTGCATGATGAAGATAGTTGACGCTGGTGGCGAGTTATTTGAAAACATTTAATAATAAAATCTTAGCAATAGTATTTTTTCGTTTCACAAATCTTTCTGAGTGGCCCACGTCTATCGATCATCTATGCGATTACGTTTGCGAAAATCTTTTATAATACACTAATTTTCAAATATTAGTCACATATCCTTAGATTTTTTTTCCTTAGATTCGACCTTATTAACTTTAAATCACGTACTTTATGTACCTAATATGCGGTGCCAAATTCGTTATTTTCTACAAGGTGTTGCGCAACGCTGTTAAATATTGGAAATTTTACTAAATCTATTATATTTTTATCAAACCAGAGCTCTTGGAGAGATGAAACACAGAAGAAGGAAGTTAAAAAGAACCCAGCTCCCGGTGACGTTATAATGGAGTTCCAGTATTGCAGGTGATTTAAAGCATTATTTTATTGGTTTTAGTTTAGGTTAGCAAAAAGACCGTGTGACCATTTTATGCACATGGTAAATTAGCCAAAAGATCATAATGATGATAATGACTGCCAGGGTTATATCCTATCGACATCTGCTATCGCCCCAATGCGTGTTGAAATAGACAGAGTCCTCGAAATACATAATATATTATATATTTGCAGATGATTTTTACATTGATATAAAACCTGACCTTTCCTCATACTTTGATACCTCAGATTATGATACAAATAACATTTTTGAATATCCAAAATAAATAAAAAGAAATAAAGTTTTTTCAAAGATGGAAATAATGGTAAAATCGTGAAAGAATTTGTAAGTTTACGATCTAAAATGTACGCTTTTAACTAGAGATTAAGACTATAAGAAGATGACAATGAATAGTTATAAGTCTTCTCTATTTAATAAAATGTTAGTGCAAAGCAAAGTGCAATATTATAGTATACTTAGATTTAAATAAATTAAGCACACAATTTTCACACAAAAATTTAATAAGATTGGTTTATCATATAACGATACAAAGAGGCATATTTTAGATAATAATATTGTTACGAACTTAGGGGTGGTAACAACAAAAACTGTCATTGAATTACCAAAATTGACACTTTAATTTCGGAACACCAATTAAAACTTAAATCACACTAATAATTAATCACACTTAATACTTTAGTTCACTTTATTTCGCTCCGTAATCTTCGCTCGTAGCGCCAATTCAATACTGTTCCGGTCGCTTTTTTTTTTTGCGCCCGAAGCAAATATGGGCAACCCTCCGGAAAGCGGGGGGAGGGAGGTTGGGAATGCTCATAGCATACCACGCAGCCGGCTGCGTGGTTATGTGGTGACTTTTACCCACTAAACCCAACCTTTTAGGAATTGGCTTAACGATCTGACTAGAGATCTCTAAGCCGTATACGAACGCGACCCTCCTTGGCAGAAAGGAGGGCGCAATTCCGGTCGCTGATCCTAACGGCTTTATATAGACCTTTTCCACCGAAACATCTAGAATATTCCAGCAAATATTGGTCCTGACCGACTAGGTGTAATAAAGTTCGAGTGTGGTGTTTTCTAGAAAGCTTAGTTCTTATATTTGATACTAGATGGCGCTGGAGGTGGAATGTTCTAGTATGGCATTTCTAGAAAGCTCTCCTTGCTCTGCTATCCGACACTAGATGGCGCTACGGGCTTAATTATGGCTTGCAACACTGCCCCCACCTAAGACATGCTCGTCTCGAGCATTATCTGCCCCTTAATAACGCGCCAGCCGATCCAGATGGACGATCTTAGAAGTACCTCTCGCACCTTTCTGAAACGGCTCCGCAACTTCAAGAACTGTCCTCTCCCATGGTGTACCTACATTTTACAATTTCAATGCACCTCTAGTACGAGTCTGAGGTCCCTTCACAGCCGCACAACTTGCGACGCCAATCCTCGACATCGTCACAATAATGGACCCAGTAAAACCGTTCTCGGGATCTTCAGTAGAGTTCGTTTAACTCCCAGATATACTCCTGAACAACCATTATAGTACAGCTGTAGAACATCTGGCACGTTAGCTTTAGGGAAAACCATTTGCAAACGACATCTGTCTCCTCGACCATTTTCCCATTTACGGCATAGGACTCCATGCTGAATCAGCAAGCTGCCTCATTAGGCCCAATAGCTTTACGTGGTCGAACTCATCGCTCAGACGTCGCTCCACTTGGGCTTGAGAGCACTGGCCTTCATTCATTCTAGAATCGGCTTGATGTCGGAATCTTTCTGCTGTACATGTCGTAGGCTGTCCCTCCATTCGTTGCTGAGGTGGTCCGTCTTGAGAATCCTCACTTCCTTACCCTCTTGCCTAGTACTATTTTTGCAATCATCAGGATAAGGTCTTCTTGACAATGCATCCGTGTTTCCTGCTGCAGTATTCGATAGTAAATTCGTATTCCCGCTGCTGCTGGGTGGTGCTATGAGCCGCACTACCCTCTCGTGATCGATCACTTTCCCTTTTTATAGTTCGCTTACGGCAGCGGGATCGAAGATGGCCCCTTTCCCCACATCCGTAGCACCTTGGGCTATAACTTGTATTGTGGTCGCGAACTGTAGCTGCTACAACCTCCCAAACGTGAGGGGAACGATGATCCTGCCGCTGCTGGGCGGTGCCGTTAGCCGCTCTACCACCTTAGGTTCGATTACCTTCCCTTTCTACAGTTCGCTTAGGGCAGATGGATCGAGAATGGCGCCTTTCCCTACAGCCATAGCACCTAGGGCTGTATCCTTTATTGCGGTCGCAAACTGTAGCTGTCGCTACCTCCGTAACGCGATGGGAACGAAGATACTGCCGCACGGCTTCCACCTCCAGTGCATGGACCAAGGCGTCCTTAAGCACCTCGTGGTGCTCGAGCCTCACAGCATCTCTGACTTCAAGGTCGTGGATGCTAACGATTAATGTCTGCACCAGGTTCCCTTCAATGAGCGCAGGTATAGATCGATATGCTTTTTGAACCAGCTTCTCTACCTCAAGGGCCCACTGCTGCAGGTTTTCGTTGATGCGTTGCACACGATCTCGAAGCTGCACACGAAAGACATATTCCAGGTGAGGAAAACAAGAAATATGTAGGAAGGTAGTTAAATAGAATTAATTTACAATCACAAAATACACGGATCACAGGTAATCAACTATAAATTGTACTGAGACTAATTTAATAGCTGATAATAATAATTAATTCGTTTCCACGAATTAATTATCCGAATATTCTAGGATGAGCTAGTAGCGGGATACAACAAGTGAACTGTGCCACGCCAGAGCCATGACTCCTTTAACGGCGGCCGCTCCGTCCTTTTTATACAATCGAGACAAGTAGCTACACGAGCGCCACTACAGGTGCAATGCGCGGGTGTGCAGTGCACTTGTTGTTTACAATAATTCCGACTACCCACAGAGGCGCTGCGACACGGCCATACTGACATGCGTGCGTCCTCGCACGTGCTGTATCACAATCTTAGTTATCTGTAGGCAGAAAAACATCGTTCGATTATACTGACAAAAGTCATAAACTTTTACACATTCAACAATACGTTCTGGTACGGTCTATATTGAACCTTCAGGTGTTAAAAATCAGCTCTGGTCCGGTCTACATCGACCCTTCAGGCAATTAGTATTGGACCGGATCCTTTGAACCCTGCAACACTAATCAGTTTTGGTCCGGCAACATGCCCTTCAAAACTCTCTTTACGCTAGTCCGGAATCACTATTCTCTGTAGCCATATCATTGGTCCGGCATAAGCCCTTCAATGATAGCAAGAACTACTTTTTTCATACTTAGTTTCTCTTTTTTTCTCTATATATTTTTTCAACTTTTTTTTCGATTAAGTTTAATAGTAAGAACCACTTTTTTCTTCACTTTTCCACTCTTTTTTTTTCTATTTTTTATATTCTTTTTTCTCTGCAGGAGCAATATAGCCCGACCAAACCACAATAATTCCTTATCACAATCACACAGTAGTGTAACGTGAGGGATGCAATAACACAACAATACCAAAGTATAAAAACCAACAGCAACACCACAAATATTATTCTGCATTAGAAGAACCACTACAATGGCGGAACCATAATTCTTTCATTCCACGAGTCCCGGGACTCGTTGAATGACCTTGTCGGAATCCCTTGCGCACGACAACCACAGTGAACTCCACACTGCACAAGTCACTTTTTCATTTTTATACCACCATGAATATGATCATTCCTCCATAATGATGCAACCTCTCTATAATTTGTAGACGCGCCGGCACGGCCACTTCCGACTGTCGCACGTCCTCGTTCGGTTGGCAGTAAACATTTGATCTATCAGTTATCACCGCCTGTAAACAGATATTGACACTTGTTAAATATTACAAAGCTCGACCATCCCTGCCTTCATTTAGGTCGTAGACAGCAGATTTATCCGGGCGCACAAGGCTCTTTCAATTGGTAACCGTTGTAGCGACTTCTGCCAATTCCTCGATAGCAAACCCCAATCTTGTCGACTACACAATATTCGGAGTAAGCTGATACGCTTATCAACACAAAATACAAAAGGCCACTTATTATTTTCAGCTCATAGCACGTGAAGGTTAATCCTTAATTTTGGCACATCGCTTAAAGATTTCTGATTTCAATACGCAGCCCATGTAAATCGTATTTTGCACGAACTATCAAATTATAACAAATCTCGAATAAGTTAATTTTTCACTGAACGTAAACTATAACTCATCTAAAATGCTCCCTACATTTCCATTATAAGAATTTTACATTTTAAGAAGTACTCGAGGGTACTTTTAACATAAATCAAACAAAATAATTAAAATTTAGGATTAAGACTTCACTTTTAACTTTCACTATACTTTAATGATAAACTTTATATCGTAAGTAGGATAGCGATTTCATTAAACTTATTACAAAAAAAACAAAGGCATCAACGCTAAGCGCATTATGATCTTTCACAAACGTAATAACCCTCGTACTATTTAAAACTTAAATTTGGGACTTTATCCTATGTGAGCGATTACAGGCAAATTACACACACACACACACACACACACACACACACACACACATGCGCGCGCGCGCGCGCGCACGCACGCACGCACGCACGCACGCACGCACGCACGCACGCACGCCCGCACACACACACACACACACACACACACACACACACACACACACCTTTAACCGGAGTATGGTTTTATTTATAAATTTACGATAGTAAATTTTTTTGTTTAATGTGTTCAACGATTTAAATATTTTTCATAACATTTATTAATATTACCCATGTGTGTTACTTAGAGGAGTAGGCAGAGACTTCGGTCTTCCCTTTCGCACGATCATTAGTTAAGGGTACTCTTAATTTAGCTCACCTTCAATATATCGCTAATTTGGTCTATGGACTTCTGTCTAGGGTGTCCCTTGTCGACTCAGCTACTCACTTCTGTAGCATAA